CGGTTAGCGAAACCCAGTCAAGCGTCTGTTTTCGCAGTGAGGCCGTCCCAGATGCTATCATGTTGACCTTCGGTTTATTAATCTCTGAACAGTGCTCAAACTCTCTTGGTGCCAGAGACCATGAAGTGCAATCCAACGCTCACATCTGGGCCCCTGGAGTTAGGGGCCGTTCCGGGTACTCTCTTAACAATTGAAACGATTCTTAAAAACGCAGCTCGGGTTGCTTTCTTCATATTTGAAGTTGACCGACTGGTCGAGTCAGAATGTGGGGTTAAGTAGTCACTGACTCGGAGCTCACGAGTGCATTCACTTCTCTGGTAAGTGTTTTGCACCTTCTAACTGCGATGCACTCCTAAAGGATTAGACTGATGCATCACGGGCCGCCTCAGTTATCGAACAACCTCCGCGATTAGTTGATTGGTTCATGCACTTAATTACGCGTATATGCTTTGTCTATCAGGCCATCGAATAGGTTACCCCACTTGCTTCTTCTAACTATATAACGTCCCTAAATCTCAATCCCATCTGGAGATATCCTGTTGTCAATCAGTGGTATGATGTGCAATTCTGCAGCGTCACAAGTGTCACTGCTGCGATCTTTGGTTTGGCCAATACACGTTGACCACCACTACCCACGGATATTAATCACCTATGATTGGAGTACGGTATCAGTGGCCCATCGGCTGGTGTTTGATAACAGACCTGCTGGCTCTGTATCGGCTAATTTGGTGCGAATTCAGTGGGTTCTACAACGCACACTTGGATTGTGCCTGGCAGAACAGCACCTAGGGGAGCGATGTTCGCATGATCATCGTCATTATCATCATTATACACGTTAGCCGCAGATGGAAAACACCTCAGCTATTGTGCCGCAATACAAAAGACAAGAAAAGGAAAACAAACAGTGCCACGCCGGCTGAGTCTCCAGTAACGGATGGACATCGTTCCGGAGAGCTAACAGCTGGCTATCGTGCCGGAAAAAGAGAGTTATATTATGCCTAACGAGTGAGATCGTAATTGGAAGGGGATGCTAAGAGGAGAGGGATGGTCAAAGGAACTCACGACACAAATGCCATTGGGGCCGGCTCCTAATCATATCAGCAAGTGTGTCCAACCGAACGTGTTCACCGTCCTTAGGATCCCACCCGGGTAGTCGCATGCACCAACCGACGCTACCTTCGAAGTGAGGGTTTTCATCTCTCTCGACCAAGTCATCGCTTGGCCTCCCCTCCTCCTCTTCCAACCGCACCCACAACGCGCAAACAATGCTCGTCGCGGGAGTCGGTGTGCTGGCATGCGCAACACGTGGTCCAACCATCGGAGCCTGGTGCCTGGTCTGCATGAAAAGACTAATCAAAGAACACAAGGTTGCGAAGAGCAACCTTTTCGATAAAACTCGTCATTCCATTTGTAAAATGGAATGTTATAACTCAATAAGCTGATGAAGTGCGGTAGATGTTGGTCGAAACAGAACGAAGCGGAAATTAAATTCTAACTAAGACAACGAGAAGACTGGTATTGCGAGACGGAACCATTTCGTGTTATCTGCTCACTCACAAACTAACAACATACCTATGAATCATGTGACAGGTAAATCGAAGGTTTGAAACTGGTCACAAAGAAAAATTACGTAGCCACAAGAATGACAGATCAACAAGTTTGCTGTTAAGGTCATGAGCCCCAAGGAGTTGTTAGGGAGACTGTTAATTTTTTCTGTACACCAAGAGTAGGGCGATGCCGGTTAAGTGCCACAGCTTCGGCAAACCTCAAAACTTTGGAGTTTTCTTTACGATAGATAACTGTAAATGTTGACCAAGGGTCAACCTGATGTCCTGTTTCGATTAGATGTCTGGCGATAGATGATGCCGGCAGCTTAGATACCTTGTTCAGCTGCTTGTTGTGTCAATAGTTTAGCAATCCGTTTTGGGATATGCTCTCCAATGCACTTACCCAAGGATCGATCTGTTCTGCCATTGTAACTACTTCCGCAGTTACAAACGAATTGGTAAATACAATGCGTTGTGGCGGAGATCGGTTGAGTAGGCTTCACTGGAGGCATAGGCAACTTCCTGGTCTCCCAAATGGGGCAGCATTTGGTGGAATTGAATGTCCGGCGAATCACTGTATACAAACGTCTTTCAAGTTGGGCGGCCACGATATCACTTTTGAAAGATAATTGAAGGTAGACAAACAGTTTGGGCACAGTAAGTACCCTCGGCCTGTTTTCCTTCAGTTGACTGTGCAATCGAATAAACGCCTATGGATATCCGTTGGCCCGTAGCGTCTATGTGATAAACAGCAATTCCGATTCCAAACAGTCGTCAGTGCATATTCTGCGGGCTCGATTAAACAGCGTTTTGACTAAGCACCGCTTGTATTGTATAGGGGCGAAGCTGTTGAATTGTTCATACAATCCTGTCCATGTAGCTTTCCTGTGAACAGGACGCTTTATGGAGCCGTCTTCTCGTTTGGTCAACAATATATCCAGAAACGGAAGACAATTGTTATCCTCCAGTTCACAGGTAAAACGGGCGTTTGGATGTGCGTTATCGAGCACAATGGGAAAAGATAGAACAGAGTCTCCACTTGGGGCGATCACTAGTGTGCCATCTACGGATCGCCTGTATAAACACATTTGATTGATGTGCGACTCACATCTCATTTCAACCATCGTTATGAAGATGTCAGCCAATGCCGGGCGAAGCGGACTTCCCATGACTACCCCATCCACCTGTCGGTAGGGCTTGCCTTCAAATAAGAAATGCACATTTTCAGTGCATAGTAGCAGCAAATCCCTAAGATATTCCACGTGAATCGGTAACACTACTTTGTTACTCATGATGAACTTACATAAGAAATCCACCGTTTCTCTTAATGGGATGTTAGTGAACAAAGGCTGTACGTCCATTGAATACATTACCTTGTCAGCAATATTCATGTTTTGCAAACAGTCAATCAGGTTGAATGTATCCTTCACAGTATACTTTGTCATCATTCGTCTCACACCGGTGTGAGCAGATCAACTAGCCAACGTGCCAACTTATGGTATGGTGAGTTACACATGGATAGTACAGGTCTTAAAGGTGTGTTGGCCTTGTGAATCTTCGATAAGCCATACATTTGAAGAGTGCGTGTCCCCATTGGCTTTAGAATGTCGTACGTCGCTTCTGTTATCATTCCATGTTGCAGCAACAATTTTACTTGATTAGTCACCCTCTTTTCGATTTGTGTTACAGTGGTTTCGCTTCGGTCTTCCTGAAATTTGGATTCATCTCTCCAGGTCTCATACATCTTGTTTTTGTAATCAAGCTTATTCATAAATTAAATTGTCTTAATCAATAAATTGGTTGATCTGTTCGAGCAGCAGTCACCACAGTACACGCAAGTATGCATGTGGAGGGAAAACTGTCTGGAAGTATGTTAATCCTAGGGCAGCAGGATGGCTTGCACAAGCGTCCTCCGTTTATACAAAGCTCAGGTTGTGTTATCCTCAGCCCTTTGATGCTCCGTTTTGGTACAACATGGTACTTTAAAAGCATCGGTAGTCCTAATTTGGTGTCCACTTCCGACCAAGTTTTCTAGGATAGAACTATTGATGTGATTGATAGTACCTTCATGCGATGCTGTTAGGGAGTGCTCCACTATCCGTTAGACATGGTTAACGGTATCCGGTTTCGGATTTGCCTGTCACTGTGGCCAGCCACAGGACGCCTGCGCATACATAGGGACCATCGGTGAGTTGCGCTGCACCACCCACAGCTCCAACCACACACCCCATATCCAGTGTAAACCCGAAGGAATAAGACCGGAAGGCATGTGGATGGGAGTCACGTTTCATCAATGGAGCCGGCCCACATTCCTTCTCAGGCAAACACAAGCACGCTGTATTTGGGACTCAAGCGCACCAAAGACGCTGGCTGGACCGTAGTCCGCTCCACACTGAGTGCATGGAACCGCTCTTTGAGCCTAGCACGGCCACAAGGACCGTGCACCCTGTCCCCTCCAGCAACGACCAAGTGTCTCCTGGATCCAGTATGGATGAGGTGGTGGGTAATAGACAGGTAGGCACCTTGTCAACATGCACATCAAGCGCAGCCACACCGGGGATGTCAGACAACAGCCAATCACTTGAAACGTCGATGAAATAAAATAAATCGAATGATGCATACAGCTACGGTGACATAACTCTTCACTAAATGTGCATATGAAATGAATTGGTTACAACCAAATCCGCTATAGGTTCAAGACGTCAGAAAATATATTTTAAGCAAAAGCTACAGATATGAAAATGTTATAGAAGTTAACCAAAGTAGTTTAAGGGACGTGTGCAAGTTTATAGAAGATAGTTCAGGTAGACATTAAAATGAGATAAAAATGCACTAGGACAATATAGCAAACCCACCACCTGAAATAAAGAGACTCAACATGCATCGTACCTACAAACGGTGTGCCGGTTCTGCCTACCTTCTCTGCAGGACTCGTCGTCGCTTCGGTTCTGGTCCGAGTGGCCTCGCTCATGGCTCACTAGGCTTGCCTGACTCAGGCATTCCGTTTCGGCCTACACCTAGTCGTATGTACGACGTACCTCACACCACAGGTCCAATGAGCTTAACCACGTTGCAATTCTGGGACTTAATTCAACTGTGGTTACAATCCGTATTTTATAGGGGGCCGAATTTCCCGGATTATCCAAATCAGAATGATGGATCGGTGATTGCATTTTGGCACATCTGTGGCCCCGATGAAGTTGCATCATTCTCCTCCGCACCTTATTCATCTCTACCTGGGTCATACAACGATAGTGGGATACCAGCTTCAACACCCTACAAACGAGAACTATCTAGGCATTGGTTTCATTCACTATGATCCGATGTGTTGAACAGCGTTTGCTCTGCGCTTAACTCTAAACCTTCTCCTAACTGGGCCTCTTTTTCTAACCGGTTAACGGTTCCAAACATCCCCACTCCAACCCTTCACTGTCCAACTTCTCACTACCCCAGCTCGGTGCGGACGATCAGACACGCCTGCTCCGTGGCTGTTGTCTCGATGTAATCACGCTACGCGCTGCATATGTGCTCAGCCGTATAGCGCGTCACAGAGGCCTACTCGATTCACATGGCCTCAAATCGTCGGATACGAGTGTGACCCCGTTGCCACACGTTGCAGACAACACCAACGTAATTCCAAACACGGTGTACCCCCGGCTCGGTGTTTCCGATGTGAAGTGTGCTCAAATGATCCGTGGCGTGGCCTTCAAATTGGCACGTTTGGAAATTGACGAGACGGAGGTCGCGCTTATGGCTGCCATCCTTCTCATGTCACCAGGTGAGTTTGATTTGTGCACCGGTCACAGTTTGTGTTTTCAACTCACTATCAATGTGATATAGTACTACCAATATCACTTGGAGTAAATCAGCGGCTTTTATGTTACGAAATTTCTGTGCTATCAGATTTTGCAGCGGTCTATTGGATAGAGGAGAGCGACTCTTCCTAGACAACATACCGCATGTTTTCGGGGCTCAACTCAGCTAATCCTTTATGTTAATGCAATGAAATAAAGTTTGTTTTTGCGCACTTGAAGACTTGCAGCGCACGAACACATTAAGCGAATCCGAAGTAAATGCCATCGAATCGTCGATCCATGGTGTGTACGCTGGGCGATTCGGAACAACTGCCAACTTATACACCCGACGCACTCATGTGACCTGATGTTGGGTAGACACAATCACTCTTCTGTTTTGTTCTGCCTCGACACGTTTCACAATACACGTTTAACATCCAATAGAACCAGAACTATTTTGTTCGGTGCTCAACATAAGACGGCACCCATTTCACTATTTTACCTTTCGGTTTTGTTATTCTAACTCATTCGATTAGCTTCTTACATTATTTTTTAACCGAATCTCAAGATTAACAGTTTCCACGACCAGGCTACGGAGTGGCCTTACAGCGAGATGGGACGAGATATTGGCCCTATATGAGTTAATCAGTAAAAAGACAACTGTCTTTCATTCACAGTGTTGTACCTACATCCGTAACGTCAATTTATCCGAAGTGCTCCTTTGTGCGCACTGTACCTCAGCTTTTGCGCACACATTGTCGCTTAAGTTGTCTCGTGCCCGCAGCCAAACCCGCTCGGGTTGTTGATTCCACTGCTGATTTGCTTCTGTTTACGTTGTCTGACACAAGGTCATGTTGGTTCACTTGCACTTTTAGCTATTCGTCTTCTCACGCCCCGAGGTAGACACGTCTTGTGTCCTCAAGCTTATGCATAGTGATGTCTATCTGGTGAGAATCGTCTACTCACACTCCTGTTGGTGGTCTGCTCGAAATGGAAGCTTACGGTCAACCTCCTGCATAGTCCCACCCTTCTGTGTTCTCCTGTTTGCTGCAGACGTTCTTTGTTTCCCGCCACTCCAGTGAACAGGTCATTATTGGTGATGAGTCAGCGCGTCTACGACCTGAGTGCCCGGAAAGACTAGGATTCGCGACAGCTGTTAGGAATGCCATCTCGAATGGCAATTTTCTCGTGCACGCCTACATACGCACTCGCGCGCTTTTCGCTGATTGACATTTGCAATTACGGGGCAATCGCTAGCTTCTATGGTGAAAGTCGTGTTGATGATGCGGAAGAGAACGTGCTACAGGGGCTGGTAACTCATCGGACAACCAGATGACTGAAAAGCAGTCGCAGTGTGGTCGGAGTGCGATAAAGATGGACGTTTTCCGGAAGCACCACTACGGTGGCTTTACCTCTAAAATTGTATCAACACAGGATCGTTCCTGTGGCGCTTTGAGATACAGTCCGTTTCTCAAGCCTGTCACTGGTGTGTCGTTTCGCACGTGTAGTACAATACTCAATGATATGGGGGGGGGGGGGGGAATTCCCACCAACTTCTCGTTCTACCATCCTTCACACAGGAATTGAGATGGGATGACCAACCGGTCTGCCTTAGCCACTACGAAATGAACCTGATTACAATATCCTCGCTTGTGCAGTCTGTACTACAACTGTCCCACATCAAGTTGAATGCGTAGGTTTCAACATGAGCAGTCGTTGAACCTCTTTCTGTTCATGTGGCTGCACCTGTCTGTGCATATTTGAGTTTGCCCTTTCAACGCGCCCTGTGTGTATTACAATCGGTACAAAATAACATTACGGACTCCTACTGACAATAAACAAGCCGGGATATCTGTCACTATTTCGTTGCAAACGCGTGACGACCGTATCACCAAGGACAGAACACAGCGGCGAGTGTTATTTCCTCATTCACTCATTCATTCCTCATTCATTAATACATGACTTCTACTTGGTGCGCGACGTATTGCCAATAAGCTCACAGTATTTGTCCTGGTGTTGCAGATTGGCTCACTCACTCTTCACTTCTCAATGGACCGAAGTATCTGTCCTTCTGATGTCCAAAGGGCGACGGTAGATTACATGTGGATGTTTGTGAGTAGTGTAATGTTCGTAGAAAGTAGAAGTCATGATTAAGCTTCACACAATAATCTGCCTCGACGGAGTTCGACCGGGGCTCGATTCTCCATCGAGGCAGATTATTGTGTGAAGTTTAATCATGACTTCTACTTTCTACGGACATTACACTACTCACAAACATCCACATGTGGCCAATAATTTCAAAGATTAACCGCGTCCTTCGGTAACAGTCGATTCTCAGTTGGGGTCAAGAGCACTAAGTGTGTAACTCAAAGGCTCATTCATGAGATTCTGAATGGGTTGAAACTATTTTTATCTGTGGCATATTCTCGGATTGGATCATTATCAGTTAGCAGCGCCATTCGCGAAACCCATTACTCACGTAGGCAGGATGTTGGCGAACAACGAGTTCCAACGTCAGAACATCTCCACAATGACAAACCCTACCGCGAGCGGGCAAAACGGGCGACCGAACGGTGTCTTCCTTCCATAATCTTGGGGTCGCACAACTTACCTAATTAGAGCTACTAGGCTTGACATACTCGGGTATATGATGGCAGGTTATTATGGGCCAATCACGAAGGTGCTTTAAAATAAATCGATGTTAATTCATCAACACACGTATTCAATGGGGATCAGTCGGTACTGACGGCTAGACACAGATCAATAGCACGAGATAGAGGAACTATGTGGATATGCGATCGAGGCAAAGTCACACGCGTCGGACGGCTGACAAGACGACGAAAGGACGAAATGTAATCCACTATGAGAACAGCCCGAACCCATCGTCTTGCATCCGAACTTTGCTCTGATGTTTTACTCTGTCTAGCTATTTTGGCTCTACTAAAGACGAACGGGACGGGATAACGTACAACTTCATAGCCTTTTAGAAGCGTACAGGAATAATTGGCTCTAGATTACCAACGTTGTGCATTCGTGTTGTGTGAAGATATAGCAATATTGTTGCGTCACCATCAATCTTGTTTAAACTGGTTGGCGCCCCTTTAACATTGCACAGCTCCTACGGTAAAGAACCCATCTCTCATTGCACCAGCGGGTTCCGTATTCACAGTGGTTTATCGATTCTTGATTATGGACTATTTTATGACACCACATAATTAATCAGAAGGTCGCCACATTCATTTCACGGTTACCCTCCATGTCCATTTTGTTTGCCTCTATAGATCGTTGTGAGCTGAGTGATATTAACACTATTGAACGTACTCAGGATATTCTCTTGGAGACATTTAATCGTTACGCGAACTGGAGCCGCAAGCAATTGTCTGGACGAATGCGCTTGTCCACCGTCTCGGGTTCCACCAGCCACTCACAGTATTGGCCTAGAATTTTTATGGCCCTCACTGAGCTCAGATCGATTACTTTGTGTAATCAAGGTTTGTTTGTGGAAAAAACGTTTAGTGCGAAGATCGATGAACTTCCGTGGTATTTCCACGAGTTATTTGAAGGCAGTCAAATCGTTTACGTTGATTCGGATATACCTACTTTGGAGGCAGTCCATTTTACTTCCCAGCGTGCATCTCCTACACCATCGGATGAAGCACCATTTTTGATGTCCAACCTCTAACTGTGCACGATGCAAGCACCACGGTCAGCCTGTCATTTTCGTCCCAAGACGACTTGTGCTGTGTTGATAATATCGGTTCATTTTGCTTTCGACAGTGACGCGGACGAGACAATATGACCTCCAGACTGGCTGGTTTGATGATTTCATGATCTTCTGTAATCTTTTCTCCCTGACTCCTCCATTCCGTTTGTGCTTTTCACGATGTTGTGTTTTTTCATTTTGCACTGGTAGACTGTTAGTAGGTGTAATTTTAGTACCAAATTCGGTTTCAACTGCACAGACCCGCGCCAATTACTTATCACAAAAATGTAAAATAGTCACTATTTGCAAGGTTGAAACCGTGAGAGTCCGTGTGTAGTTTTCTGTCGTTTTCCACCCGCTTTTGTCTGTTTTCGTGCGTCACTTTGTTTCTACACTATCCTGCTTTCTGTGATTTGTCTTGACTTTTATGAGGCGTTTATAAGTTCATTGGGTTGGTTTCTGAAACCCCCAGGACTTAGTCGGCCGATGCTTTGAACACCAAGCATAGCAACCGTGTGTTAAAGTGGTGATAGATTAGTGTTCTAACTCTAGAACTTCCAATCGCGAATTTTCACCGAGTACTTGCGATCGTCGCTGCTCTCCAATGTGCTAGTCAGGCAGATCTGGGTCTGCACGTTTATCTATAAACACGAACTCACAGTTTTGAACCCCTTTTGGGACTCATGAATGCAAATGTAACGGTATAAGCGACCACGTACTACGGAAACTGTGTGACTTTTCAAAGACTACTACGTCTGTGATGACGGCGGGGAGTATTGTTTTGTAGCGTGACCATTCCTGCTGAACGACAGATTGGTCGTACTTTTTGTTGCTGTTGTTATTGTTGTTGTTACCTGTTCAATATCACTCTTACCCGGTGAGCTAATCGATTGTGCCTTATTATTCTACACCAAATATTGTTCGGCAACAAAATTTAGGCACCATCTGTGAAGTCTCAACCACCTACGTCGGTTAACCCATGTCCCCCCGAATTCCGATCAACTGCACACCTTCAGACTTGTGTTTACTGATGTTTGGTGAGACCTGAAGGGTGTTAGCCTACGACATATCAATGGTGGACAAAGCCAATTTCGTATGGAACTTGTTGACTATCACAAATAAGTTGTGGCTCAAAGCGCCAAACTCCTTTCTTGTTCTACTACATCAAAGGGGCTGTCCAACTCATTGCACGGAATTTCGGTAAGCAATCGGCCACAGTTGCTGATTGTCACGAAGCCCCACTTTGTGAGACCAGCCACAGTGGTCAACGTTTCAAGTGATCCTCTCTCTCACTCCCGGGTTGCTCATCGCTTCGAGTGTACTATATTCATCTATGATCTCCAGTTACCAAAATATGTCATTACCGACAGGCGGCTGCCGGACAAAATTCGTCAATGTCCTGAAATTTTCTCGTTGTTCTTGATCGATAACTTATCGTCTAACATGAATGAAAGGATAGTAGTTAGCTAAACGAATAAGCAACTGGGGTCAGTCAACACTCGAACGTTTCCTCGGCTAGTTGTCTGATTGCGTCATTAAGCAACTCCCTCCATCTCCCCGCTAAAATCTGCGATTTATCGCATTACTCTGAATTGCACCCGCTGAATGAACGTCTCTGTCAACGTTTGAACCAGGTACAATGCATAGACGTATTTGCTAATTGCACTCCGCAGAGACAACGTGCGTTTTGTCAAGACAACCGAACCGACAACAGCCATCTACCTAAATCTGGTCCATGCGTTTATGATGTGTCCTCATGTGGGGGAAATTTTGTTTGCGGTTCACATCACGCACTTCTTCTTCAGTCCGAGATGGCGTTCACGATACAAACTTGGTGTGCATAAAGTTACCGGTATCGTTCCCCCATTAGTGGCGAATACCTTAGCGGTCCAGTAAGCTGGAACTGCGACACAATATGCGACCTTGTGAGAGTATTACAACAGCAGATCAAGAAGGCTGGTACTTTGACTTGGTCCACCGAGCCCCATCTTTCGAACTTTCCTTTTGGCTATATGGGGATGATCTCGGTTGCTGAGTTCGTGGATGTGTGACTCTATTGGGTTCCACTATTTTCACCCACGATAGTTCTTTTATGTCAATGTATCACCGTGAGTCAGAGGGTACTGTAAGCTTGGTCTGGTTTGTAAAAGTGGCGTTATGCTTTTGGAACTGAGGCGTGATTAAACAAACTCAACGGATTTACGATAGAAAGAGGCATCGTGATGATTCATGCGAAACGTCTCGAGCAACTGTCACAGCGATCATCACCTAAGTCATCAGAGAGGACTCCCCTGCCTTCTACCACTACGATCTGGTCACCAGGGTAGAGTACCAACTGTACGTTGTCTGATGAGGTGTATTCAATGGGATAACCAATCAGTTGCACGAAAAGATATCACTAAAAACTCATTAATTTGTGGTAATTGAAAACTCGTAGAAGAATATCGGTGTTCGAAATCGATGGTAGTAGGAATTTGGAAGATTCATGTGTGATCTAAAGTGCAAGATAACACGACACCAGGCTGTGGTCGATCTATCCTTTCTCTTCCGGTCCGTTGCCAGGGCAACTAGACATGTCCAAAAGTGGCTGCGTTACTGTTCACCCTGATTAGGTCGCGTGCCATTTTCGGAAAACGCTACAGACGTCATGCGCCCCTTGATCTCTTTACTATGACCAATGGTGGTCTATTCATAGCCGAATAGTGTTTTACACGAAGATGTGTGTCACACCGGTATTCGAGAGACTTGACAACCAACACATCATGGACTCTACGATTGAAATCATCACCATCATTACACTTTAGCTGAAGGTGAGAAACACACCTCAGCTACGTCAGGCCGAGTGAACCAGTCGAGGATTGATATAGCACTTATAGCGAATTGTGATGATGATCGCGATGAATGGGATGTAGGCAGAAGGTCAGTCGCGTTACAGGTCAACGCATCCCTCCAAGTAGTGCATGGAACGGTCATAAGTGGTCCGCTTTACAAGGTCGCACACGTAAGCCCTGTTAACGATGGGTACCCTGGATCCAAAACTTTGCCCACAAACTATACCAACCGGTTGTTTACAAAGCTTTCTGAAATCATGAGTTCTCGATCGATTCCACATATTTTCCAAGCTGTTAAGCACACTTCAGATAATTGTACCGCAGTACAAAAGATAAGGTCTACCAGAAAGCAAGATACTAAACATTACAAAAGACATCACAGTATATGAATGTCGGGATTTGCACTGGTTGCGAGATCAGTGCTTGGTTGGATTCCATCATTGGCTACTGGGCATCGAGACCACAAGGCAGAGCTGCTGACGTTGCTCTTCGACGGTACAGCTATGGAACCAGACAAATTTTGGTAGTTAACCTCATCGTTCCAGCAAATGGGATGCATTTTTGAAGAGTGAGGCGCGAATTCCACAACCTGAGACTGGTGTGTTACTCGTTGATGCTGGCTCCAAATTTTGGATCCTCAATGCAACCATTATCTGGTATGATTGCTCTTTTATATATACTCTCATCATCATGTGACCATGTTCCCGCCGGATATTCGCTAAGCTGGGAAGGCATCGGTGCTCGAACGTAATTAACCCCTTTATTGATTGGAGGGTCATTTTGAAGTACGCGTTGTGTGGATGGATTGTGACGCGCGAACTCCATGTGGACCGCGATTCCACTGGTGGTCATTCGATCATTAGGGCCGTAGCTGAAGCAAGCAATTGGGTGCTGCTTACCCGAAAGCAATGCACTCCATGACGGGTTTTGACCTTGTTTGATTTCATCAGATGACGATAGCAGGCGTCTGGCGAATAACACACAATTTCTATGTGCTTTTGCTTACGTCGAAAGACGCAGCGGGACAAAACTGTCTATACCAGCGTTATTGCGAGCAGACGGGACCCGTGCGCAAACTGACTATGACAAGGCTTGTATACTGGGGTCTTTGCTCGGGAGACCTCTTTACCACAGGTTGAATTGGTTTCAAGAGTTCCAGAGGATTCTTGCTTAGCTGAATTTAACATAACGGAGACTCAGGTCTTCGAGCTACTGCAAGGCATTAGTCCCTCTAAAGCATTCGGACCTAATTCAATTCATCCGAAGCTGTTGCATAAATTGGCCACTGAGCTAAGTGGTCCTCTCACATGCGTGTTTTCAATATCGCTGGACAGCTGCATCCTACCTTCGGAATGGCAGGAGGCAATCATCTGTCCGAATTTTAAGGGCGGTAACAGCGCTCTGCCCGCGAACTACCGGCCTGTCAGTGTGACAAGCGTAGTAGTCAAGTTGTTTGAAAAGCTGATAAGGGATTCAGTGGAGAACCACCTGAATAGATTCAACCTTCTCAGTGTTGCGCAACATGGATTCCGCAAGGGATTTTCATGTCAGACTAATCTACTTGTAGCTCGTGAAAGCTGGGCCGAAGCGGTATACAGTGGCCAAGCTGTAGACGTGCTATTCGTGGACTTTTCGGAAGCTTTTGACGCTTCCACATCTTCGGCTCTCATTAAAGTCGAGATCTTACGGGAGATCTGGTCGCGCCCTTCAATGGGTGCCTGCCTTCCTTGTGGGGAGGGAACAGTGCGTACGGGTGGGGCGTAGCCTTTCGCACAGGCAAACTGTCCTTAGTGGTGTCCCGCAGGGCTCGGTATTGGGGCCATTGTTGTTCGTGATCTATACAAATGACTTGCCGGGAGAGCTGGGGGTGTCGTCACTAATGTTTGCTGATGACCTTAAGCTGTGGAATATTGTGGATATCCCGGGGGGTCCTGAGGCAATTCATCATGCCTTGGATAGGCTCTGGGAATGATCTACCACATGGTTGATGCCAAGTGCTCTATTCTCCGAATCAGAGATGATAATCCTCCCACCCGATATGTTGTCGGCGGTGGTGAACTCCCTGTTGTCACTCAGCAGGTGGATTTAGGAGTCGTACACGCATCAGCACTTCATTCTGGAGACAAGTGGAAGAAGGCTGCTTGTCTGGTGTTTCGTATCATGTGGTTTATCCGCCGCTCTTTGGGAATCCTAACGGCCAATTTGTTTGTGAAGCTACTTTCGGCATTCGTCCGACCCCACCTGGAATATTGAATTCAGGCTTGTCCACCATGTCTTAACCGAGACAAAATGGACTTGGAGAGGGTGTTACGAGTAGGCACTCGGTTAGTGCAGGGTCTACGGGGACAGACGTATCCTGAATGCTTGCTCAGTTTGGGGATGTACTCAATGCACTATCGAAGGATAATAGGGGACCTGATTCTCACTTATCGTATTTTGACGGGTAAGATTGGCCCGGACTTGTCAGGACTATTTAGTCCCACTACGTTACCTAATCTCCGCGGTCACCCGCTGAAACTGCATAAACCACGGTCTGATAAGATTAGGACGGAAACTCGTCTGTCGCGCCGAGTTATAGATCGCTGGAATTCGCTTCCAGATCATGTGGTTAGGGA